TTGTTTAAGCTGCCCAGCCTGTGGCATTTTGTTATGGCAGTCGGAGCAAACTCATACAGCTCAAGATGAAATCTGAGGTCACCTGAAGAAATTCACATTTGGCCAGAAGTGGTGGCTCATGCCTGTAATCCCAGCACTCTGGGAGGCCGAGGCAGGCAGATCGCTCAAGGTCAGGAGTTCGAAACCAGCCTGAGCAAGAGCAAGACCCCATCTCTACTAAAAATAGAAGAAATTAATTGGCCAACTAAAATATATAGAAAAAAATTAGCCGGGCATGGTGGTGCATGCCTGTAGTCCCAGCTACTCGGGAGGCTGAGGCAGGAGGATGGCTTGAGCCCAGGAGTTTGAGGTTGCTGTGAGCTAGGCTGACGCCACGGTACTCTAGCCCAGGCAACAGAGTAAGACTCTGTCTCAAAAAAAAAAAAAAAAAAAAGGAAATTCACTTTTATACCAGAGAAACCAGGGCATCTAAATTTCCTGGCCAGAATCACACAGTGAGTTACTACTGAAAGACCCAGAAGTCCAACCTAGTCACCTGAGTGTCAGTCCAGACTCCTCCTCTGTGAGAAGTAAGAGCTTATGCCAGGCTCAACAAGGGGAGTGTCTTTTGTGGTTCCCACAAAAAGGGAACTAACTGTTGTGGTTCCCAAGCTGTGCGGCCATGAGCGGGCCTGGGACTGAGGGCCCCACCTTGAGGCAAAATAACAATAAACTTTTCCCAATTTGCAGCAAGAGAAAAAAGTAGTTTGATAAAATCATCTCATTTTATTGTTACATAAATTTTTCTTAGACTTTGGTGCTTAAAGAGGAATGAATATATAGCAACAGAGTCAACCTGAAAAATGTAGGAGGAAAGAGAAAATAATGACACAGCCAAATATTTGACAAAAGTGAAGCAATGCAAAAAACAGGCTCAGCAGCAATGAAAGCTGAGTTCTTTGGCAGAAAAAGTTACAAATAGTAAAAATCCTAGCAATCTTGAGGAAGAAGAAAGAGATAGGGTCCAGTGAGAAATGCTAAGGGTGAAATTGGAGCTATAGCCGCAGATACAGTAAGGATATTTAAAAGTCAGAAGGAGGCCGGGTGCGATGGCTCAGCCTGTAATCCCAGCAATTTGGGAGGCTGAGGCAGGAGGATCCCTTGAGGCCAAGAGTTTAAGACCAGCCTCAAAATAGAGCAAGACCCCATCTCTACAGAAAAATTTAAAAACTAGCTGGGTGTGGTGGTGCACACCTGTAGTCCCAACTACTGGGGAGGCTAAGGCGGGAGATTTGCTTGAGCCCAGGAGTTTGAGGCAGCAGTGAGCTAAGATCACCCCACTGCACTCCAGCCTGGGCAACAGAGCAAGACTCTGTCTCTTTAAAAAGGGAGAGAGTGAGAGTGAGAGAGCGAGAGAGAGAGAGAGATGAATAGAAGACCTGCATTCCAAGAATCCAGAAGAATGGTGGGTAAGGTGTCTAGAAACCTGGACTCAGGGAGAAGTGCTGAAGGAACTGTGGTTTATTCAGTCTTCAGAAGAGGAGCCTACTGTGCAAAGGATAGGAGATCTGTGGGTGAAATTTACACAGGTAGAAAGGACTTCATGAGCACTTGAAGCTGCTGGACTCTACCGCTAAGGGCTGCCTGAAGTCATGAGGCCCCAGAGACTGGGTGACCGTCATGTCATATGAAGTGTAGAGGATTCCTTCACAGAGGGGAGATCTGGCTAAGTGGCCACAGGTGTTTCTCCCAGCCCTAAAATTCTTCACTTATTTTGATAAAGGAAGACAAAGTTCCCAGGGGAATCCAGGTGTCCTTGAACTCTGTGCCGCTAGCCACACTCAGCTGTTGGCAACTGCAGTTTTCCTTCAGTAAAGTGACTGGCCCACTATACTGTAAAAGGTTAATCTTGGCAGCTTGTTGATTCCATATCCTAACCCTGAGACCACACAGCGGCATGGCCAGTAAACTTCAGCTTGTGCATGAATGTGTGCCAAAGACTTGTCAAATAGCAACTTTAAAAAAAACAAAAACTTTTATTTTCAAATTAAATTTCATGGAGCCGCTCAAGTGCAGTTCAGTTTGTTATCCGAATCTCTTTCCACCAGCTAGAACTGGCATCACCCTAACATCTGTCCCGTGGTCACGTTTTACTGGGTGTTTGGGGATTGTCTGTAGGAGGTGACATTGGAATTTGGGGACGTGCCTATCTTCAGATGCCAAACGAGCTTGGATAGAAATCATTTTCCTGTGCATGCTTACGTTCTGAACTCGGAGCTATGCGGGGCTCCCTAGACGTGGCTGCCGGGCTGTGGCCGTTGCTCAGATGCTCTTCTGTTCTGACCCTGGGGTGCCGACCACACACTGGGTCACAGAACCCGCCATGGTGACGCCACTGCATTCTACCGGGGGCGACCAAGCAAGACTCTGTCTCAAAAAAAAAAGAAAAAAAAATCTCTCTGACTCTTGTCTTTAACTTGTTTGTGGTGTCTTAAGTATTACCAAGGTTTTAGTTTTTAATTACTATTTTTTATAAAATTAAATACCTCTTTTCCTCCATGCCATCAAAATTTTAGTACTTTCTCTTAGAAAAGTCTTTTCCATGCCCTGAGCTTTAAAAATAGTCTGCTGTATCTCGTGTTTTTTAAAAATGTTTAGAGTTTAATCCATGTGCATTTTATTTATTGTGTAATAAGAGGGAACCATGTGATTTCCTAAGTAACTTATTTATTTTTTGCTGATTTATAATGCCTCCTTGGAGTCACCTCTTAAATTCCCATGTATGTGTGAGTATGTTTCTGGTTATTCTCTTGCATTGACCTATCCGGTGGGGAACCTGTGGCCTTGCGGCCCCATGTGGCCTCCTGGTTCCTTGAGCAAGGCCCTTTCACTGAATCCAAATTTTATAGAACAAATCATTTTAAAAAAGGATTTGTCCTATGGAGTTTGGGTTCATTTGAGGAACCACACGTGGGGATCTGGAGGGCCACATTGGGCCATGAGGCTGCAGGTTTTCCAGCCAAGAAGAAATTTTTAGATTTTGTTGAATGTTTAGATTCATTAGGAAAGAGCATCATCCTTTTTGCAATTTTTTTCTGACTTCCAAAAATGACATCTGGTCAGAACCCTAGATGTAAAAATTGAATTCGCAGGGTTTTTAAAACCTGGGAGAAAATATGTTTGAAGTAGTTTATAACCTGGGTATAGGGAAAAGCTCTCTACCTACCTGTGATCAAAATCTAGATGCAATAAAACAAAATATTGATATTATTTGAATATATAAAAAAATTAAAACTTTTCCATGGCAAAAGTTTGCATAGGAAAAGGCAAATGTCAGACTCAGAGAAAATACATACAACATATCACAAATAAGAGACATTTAAAATGTAAATCATAGTAATATCTGGATCACTGTCATGGAGAGATTTAAGTATTAATAGTATGCCTAGTACTAATAATAATTGTTATAATTATATATGATATTATTAATTATACAATTATGTGTGTATATATATTATATATATTAACATATATATAAAATAAATGTTAGTGTTTCTCCCTCCTGAAATTCATCAAAGAATCCCTCACCAGCTCAGACCTCCCAGGTGGAAGCACATTTGTTTGTAGAAACCAACAATTAAATTCTGGGACACTATCTTGAACTGTAACTAAGAGTAATCATTTTTCTCTCATTTTTTTTAATATTTGTAGAATAAACGCATTTTTCCTTGTTGGTACCACACAATCGGCACAGCTTTCCATCTTCCATCTGTCATCAGTATGACTCCTTAAGGTCCTTCACATATGATTGTATAGTTATGTGACTGTATAATTACAATTGTATAACTGGACAATAATTGCAATTAATTAATTTAATCCACTTTATAATCCAGTTGGCGCTGACAATGGGTTTCATTCCTTTTTCATTCCAATAGCCAGACTAGAATTGTGGGGTTTTGGGGGTTTCTTTTTGTTTTTTTTTTGAGACAGAGTCTCACTTTGTTGCCCAGGCTAGAGTGAGTGCGTGGCGTCAGCCTACTTCACAGCAACCTCAAACTCCTGGGCACAAGGGATCCTGCTGCCTCAGCCTCCCGAGTAGCTGGGACTACAGGCATGTGCCACCATGCCCGGCTAATTTTTTCTATATATTAGTTGGCCAATTAATTTATTTCTATTTATAGTAGAGACGGGGTCTCACTCTTGCTCATGTTGGTTTCAAACTCCTGACCTCGAGCAATCCGCCCGCCTTGGCCTCCCAGAGTGCTAGGATTACAGGCGTGAGCCACCGCGCATGGCCTAGAGACTAGAATTGTGAGCAATACACTCTCCGGTATTTAGAGCTAGGGATCGTTTCCAGCCAGCTGGTAGTTACACCTGTGCTGATTTATTCAGCTGCACCTGCAGCTCTATCTAAAGCCGGTTATAGCTCATAATTTTCGTAAAATAATCAACTTCCAAACTGACAGGATTTTACAGCTCATTGTCCAGCTTCTCCAATTGAACTATGAAGAATTGAGTTTTAGAAAGTGTGCTTATTAACTTCGTGCTCCACATAAAATGTCTATCCCAGGTAGATAGAATAACACAGCCTAGTATTGTTGTTAGTGTCATAATTAAAACTGGTTTATACATTTATTTGTGCTCTGCCTCGTATCAAGAGGATTTGAAGTAGCTGAGATTAGACTTCAGGTCTCCCATGCTGTAGACTGGCAGGTTTCCCACCCTGCCCAGAAGAATGTTCTTCCCGATGGGAACGACCTCTGTGTCCTGTGTCTCACGGGATGTGGAGCTACTGAGCACTTGACCTCCAGCCAGTGTGACTGAGGAAATGAATTTTTAATGTCATTTAATTTTAATTTCAGAAGCCACGTGTACTGTGTGGACAGGCGGGCCTGTGAACACCACAGCTCATGACCATTTAAGAGTTTTTAAATACGGTTCCGTGCATGTATAAAAAGTGTGTTGCTTTGCCGTGCAGCTGGCTGTTATGCATGCCAAACTGCTTTCCCCTCTCTCCCCAGATTCCATCACTCAGCACAAGGTCTGCTCCCTTGAAGACTACCTATTGCTGCAGTGACGGAGACATCATCGGACCGTGGCGACTGCAGGCAGCTCGCCAAGCTGCCTTTGGACTTTCAAATGAAAAACAGCACTGTGAAGGGAAGGAGCTGACTTATTAAAGATGACTGTAGATATCATCACCTTTGCCTTGTGAGTGTTGTGGTTTTTATCTTAGAATTCCTTTGTGTGACTTTCTGAAGACTAAATTTATGTTTCAGAGAAGCATTAGCTGGTCCTTTCTGGGATTTTTCTATATAATGACAATCTTTGTATCTTAGTTTTCTGTTGTTTTGTTTTGTTTTGTGTTTTGAGACAGGGTTTCACTCTGCCACCCTGGCTTAGAGTTCAGTGTCGTCAGCCTAGCTCACAGCAACCTTAAACTCCTGAGCTCAAGCGATCCTCCTGCCTCAACCTCCCGAGTAGCTGGGACTACAGGCACACACCACCACACCCAGCTTATTTTTGTATTTTTTGTAGAGATGGGGTCTCGCTCTTGCTCAGGCTGGTCTAGAACTCCTAGCCTCATGCAATCTTCCTACCTCAGCCTCCCAAAATGCTAGGATTACAGGTGCAAGCCACCGTGCATGCCCGGCCTGTATCTTAGTAATGCTCATAAATTAAAAGGTCACCAAACCTTTGTTATTAAAGCACTGTACTGTCAAATAAAGAGTGGAAATTCATTTAAACTGTTTTTATTACTGAGAACAATCAAAGAACCCCCGAAGCTTCTTGGCTTAGACCCTAAGATCTTTATGAACACGTCACATACTAGAGATTAAGGACATTCATCAGGTATTAAAGTTACTTCTATGTATCTGAGATTCCTCTCAAATTAATCAGTGAAGACGGGTGGAGCGTGTTGCAGTGATGATCTGAGCAGCCCTACTTCTGCAAGCTGAGTTTATGGTGAGCAGAGCATCACCGACAAGAGACCACCGCCTCCACTGGCCACTTCATGTCCCGTAGACGAACTTGGCAGCCAGGAAGGATGTGTAGAAATGCTGATTGATGAATCACCTTCTAAAAAAGAGATATGCTACTTCCCAATGAGGCTTAAGGTGCCAGTAAGACCTCCTCGTGGTCCTGGCCCCTCTCCGTGTTATCTGTTGCTCATCTCAGCTGTTGTTTCTACCTCAAATAACCTTCACATTCCTCCGCGAATGCAATGGATCAGCTTCTAGAACAAACCTTTGAGAAAGGCGGTAGTCTTGCACCTGAGTGTAATAAAGGGTTTTGGCTGGTTTTGAGATAATATTTGCGCCCAGATCATCCGCTCCCGGTACTCGTCCTCTGAAGCAGCTGAACTCCGATACGGTTCACACTCTGACATCCGTTCTCCTCACAGTGTGTGTGGTTCCCGCTGTCCGAGAGCATCCCGGGCTTGGCCGCCTCTCAGCTCGGGCTCTCTGGCAGGGTTCCCACAGCACCTAACACTCCCAAGGAGCCAACAAAAATTGTGCTGACTCGTGCTGGGGACAAGCCGCAGAGAACCTCCGTCTCCCACTGGTGCCCCCTTCACCCTCTGCCCACCCGGGCCTGCTCCCCGATGCTGGCCAGCGGCCAGTCCAGATTCTCTTTTGTGCCGGGCAGCACACTGAGCATTTTATATGTGGTGCCTCATGTATCCTCCTAACAATCCTATGAATTGGATTACTGCAGGTCTCTTCTGCATTCTCTTACCCTAAACTTGTAGGGCTAAAAGGTCTCAGAATTCTGACTTTTTTTTCTTTTTAGTTTTGAAAGGTGTATGGCTCTCACTGCTTCTATTCAACATTGTACTAAAGATTCTACCCAGAGAAGGCAAGAAAAATAAATGAAAGGCATACGGATTGGAAGTGAAGAAACAAAACTCTTTATTCTCACATTATGTGATACTATCTATAGCAATTATAAGAAATGCAAAAAAAAAACCTACTAGAACTTATAATAAATTTAGTAAGATTATAGGATACCAAAAAATCAGTATATAAAACTAACTGAATTGTTGTATTAAATTTCTATATGCTATCAATAAGCAATTCAAAATGAAATTAAAAATACAATTCTAGCAGGGCACATGCCTGTTGTCCCAGGTTTACATTAATCAATTGGGAAATTAAAACTCAGCACAGAACGGTGAGGTGGCTGAGAACAAGCCTCTGGCCAGACTGCTGCCGATGCTCTTCGAGTATCAAGGACTTAGAACAAGGGTCCTCAAACTTTTTAAACAGGGGGCCAGTTCACTGTCCCTCAGACCATTGGAGGGCCAGACTATAGTTAAAAAAAAAACTATGAACAAATTCCTATGCACACTGCACATATCTTATTTTGAAGTAAAAAAACAAACGGGCAAAAATACCCACATGTGGCCCGCAGGCCATAGTTTGAGGACGCCTGACTTAGAGCAACTCAGAGGGAGATTTGCATTGACGTTCCATTTACTTCTGAACTGGAATTAATGATTTTATTTAGTCTGGGGCTCTCCCAGCTCAGAGTCACCAGCAGTGCCAGCCATACATGCCCATTCCTGAGCCAACTAGGATGGACGAAGTCAGGACCTCTGGAAGGAGCTACTGGTTTACACACCACCCCCGGTGACTCACGCACCCCGAGTCTGTGATCTTCCAGCCCTGCTCCTTCCTGGGGAAGCTCTAGCAACCTCGGCTCCTGAGTACCATCACACCCAGTCCCGTGAGGGTGAAATCAACATTCTACAGCTGGTCTTTTGAGGAGAAAAGGACAACAAAGGTACTTATTGCAAATAATTAAGATAATGAGATTCAACACATAAAACAAAAGCAAAATGTGTGAAACTCTGCCACACCATGAAATAGCCCTATTTTATAGAGCATACATTCAGTACTGTGTAATATATATATATATATATATATATATATATCAAGGCAAGTTAATCACTGCAGGTGAACATAAACAGCAAGTTCGTTTTCCTTTCTCTGTTTATGTGTAAAGCCATTAATAGTTTATTTTGTTTCACATTAACAAGGGGTGACTTAATTGCAGAGTGAAATAACAATCACAAACATTCAGTTTTGGTCTTGCCATTACTTCCTTATGTGACATTTCCTCTAATTAGTTAGAAGGAATCATATCAAGAAGTATAGGTTTTGTTTAGAGAGAATGTAAAGAAAAAAAAGAAACACAATGGTAAGTTTTTGCTTTCCAAATATTGGGGAAATGGTAGAGTAGCTGTAATGACCTAAAAACCCTTCTGCTACAACATGCCTACAAATACTGAAGAAAATATACAAGCTTCTTTTTATTTATTTTTATTGTTATTTTTTTAGAAAGATAATCTCACTCTGTTGCCCAAGCTGGAGTGCAGTGGAGCAATCATAGCTCATTGCAGCCTCGAACTCCAGGGCTCAAACAATCCTCCTGCCTTAGTCTCCCGAGTAGCTGGGACTACAGGCATGCCCCACCACATCTGGCTAATACTTTTAGTTTTTGTAGACATGAGGTCTTGACATGTTGCCCAGCCTGGTTTCAAACTCCTGGCCTCAAGCAAGCCTCTTGCCTTTGCCTCCCAAAGAGCTGGGAGGCTACCACACTGGGCACAAGCTTCTTTTAAATGTATTGCCAAGCACCTAACATAAAAGGGAAATCCCCAGGGTGCAGAGCCAGGAGGGAGCCAGTCTGAACTGAGCCTGGGTTAGGGGCCCAGCACTGCCACCCAGGGAGAGGAGAGCGAGCCCTGGGGAAGCAGGGACCTGGCTTTGAATGGCAAATGGGGTCAGCAAATGAGGCTGTGGCCTGAGAGAAGTAAGTGGGATTGGAGCTCAGACCCACTAAATAAAACCAAAATTCTAGAAGGATACACACCCAGACAAGGAGGAGACTAGGGAAAAACTACACAGGTTGCCAAAGAAGCCAGACTGTCCGGCCCAGAGCTCCAACCAGGGAAACTAAGAAAAAAGAAACTCGTTTAGGGTGATTGCTTTCATGGAGGTCATGTTTTCTGAACTAAAAACAACTTAGAAAATCAATGATATGATGAAGTCCAAAAACTATATTTTTAGGTTGAAAACATACTTATAAATAATTGATATGTCAAAAGAAATCACAGTGGAAATGAAAAAAATATGTAGAACTGAAAAAAAACCTCTGGGATATAGCTAAAGCAATATTTTGAGGGAAATATATAGCCACAATTGCTTATATTAATAAAGGAAAAAATACCTCAAATTTCATTAGCTAAATATTGAATGAAAAAATTCGGGAAAGAACTACATAGTAAGTCAAAGAAAGTGGCAAGCAGAAAAAAATAAAGTTGATAGAAATTAGCAAAATAAAAATAAGAAAAAGTAATCCATTAATCAAAGATAATTATTTTCAAAGACTGATAAAATAAGCCAATTTCTGAAAGTTTGATGAAGGTTAAAAAACAGAGAAGGGACCAAAACAATATTAGGCATGAAAACTGGTTGTAACTGAAGAGTTATGTTCCCTGTTCTTGACTTTAATTCTTCTACTACTTTATTTAAAACTATGAAGTGTATCTTTTGTGCCAGGAAGACAACATCTACTTTTACCCCTTCAATATCTGAACTGTTAACTGAGACAATAATTAAAATTATTGACCTGAAACCAAACAAGAGCACACAAATACTCTCCAGGCTAAGCCATTATTTTATTTGGTACGCGTTCCCGGGTTAGGCACTTACATTTTCCGAAAGCCTCGGGAACTTCCGGGGACTAAGCTCCACCTAGAACTGTCCAATACTGGCAATGGCTGTCACTTTATTAATCTGGTTTCGATTTTTTTTAATGTTTGGACTTACAGCTTATCTCTGGGAACACATAATTGTTCCATCTTTAGTATTCCAGAGAGGAGATTTGCTGAAAGAGTTCATTTAGCATCCTCCGTCCACAAGCCAGCAAGTGAGATCTTAGCCAAAGCTGAAGAGAGAGGACTCATGAGGGGGAAAGCCATCCGTCTCCAGGGCTTGCCGGCCGTCCCTCTGTCCATGTCAGCAGCAAGGCAAGGGAGCAGGAGAGGAGGACTGCCAGACCGCAACACTTGGCACCAGAAGCCAGTTATCAGCCAGATACTGTACTCAATCAGGGATGTGAAACCCCATCATTAAGTTATCGGGAACTGGTCGGAGAGAAGAAAAGGACTCTGTCCCCGCGCGCGCGCGCGC